TTTCTAGCAGACATTTCATTACCCAACTAGGGAACATCATCAGTGCTAGAAAGGAATGCTGGCGGGGAGAGGGAGGAAGAAGATCGTGTGGTCCTTGGTGTTCTCTGAGCTTGGTTGTTTTCTAGCAGACATTTCATTACCCAACTAGGGAACATCATCAGTGCTAGAAAGGAATGCTGGCGGGGAGAGGGAGGAAGAAGATCGTGTGGTCCTTGGTGTTCTCTGAGCTTGGTTGTTTTCTAGCAGACATTTCATTACCCAACTAGGGAACATCATCAGTGCTAGATGGGTATGAGGTGCGTGGAGGAGGATTAGGAGGAGACTGTGGGGGTCCCTGGCTCTCTTGGAGCTTGGTGGTTTTCTTGCAGATTTTTCATTACCCAACTAGGGAACATCATCAGTGCTAGATGGGTATGAGGTGCGTGGAGGAGGATTAGGAGGAGACTGTGGGGGTCCCTGGCTCTCTTGGAGCTTGGTGGTTTTCTTGCAGATTTTTCATTACCCAACTAGGTAACATCATCAGTGAATCAGAACAGAAATCACTGCTGAGGTCTCCATCTAGGTTTATTCCAGCCTCCTCTTGCATCACCGCCATCTCTTATCTTCAACTTTGGGACATTATTAATCTCAAATTCTGGAATGCCTCCTTCAACGCTCTTCCCACGGAGCCACTGGGCCAAAGAAGGCAATTGGTTCAGACTTAGAAGCAGGAAATGTGAGTTCCTCTTTTGCTCCGCCTTTAAAAGGAAGCATTTGGGGAGGGATGAGAAGAAGCCCCAGATGTTTCTCCTGCCACTGCAGGCATGGCTGTCTTGAGGTCCTCCTCCACAACCCTGGGTCCATTTCAACTGTGGTTCCTCCTGCTGGTGCAACAGATGGCGGGGAGTTCACTTCAGAAAATAGGTGAGTATTTTGGCTCCGGTTTCCAACTGGAAGACGGGGAGATTAGTCGATTCCTCAGCAGGTTCCAGATTATGGATCCTTTGAGGTGAAAGTTTCTCCTATGGATTCCTTCCTGAGTGTCCAGGTGGCCAGGCAGAAGGCTAAGGTTTGGGGAAAGGGACCAAGAGTGGCCCCTGATTTAGTGGGGGGGAGGGGGCTTAGGAAGCTTTGAGGAAAAGGACACTGCTTGCATTTTTTTATAAAGCTTTTTTTAATTTTTTATTCTCTTACATACCATTGTAAGTATACATTCACATAATTGTGATTCTTCTTTACATTTGTCATTCTTATGCATTTGTTATTCCATTTAATAGGTTATAATATACAGTTTGGGTTGCTTTATTTACCATCCCTTCCACCCGTTGTAACACCACCTCCTTTTCTCTTTCTTTTCTCCCTCCCTCCCTTCTTTCCTTCCTTCCTTCCTCCTCTCCTTCCCCTTCCTTCTTCCCTTACCTCTCCCTTACTCCTATTCTTCCTGTTCCGCTTTCTACCCTCTCTCCTTCTCCCTTCCATCTTCCTCTCCTCTCCTCTATCTTCCCTCCTCCTCCTCTCCTTCTCTCTCCCTTTCTTTTTCTATTGTTATAGGTCCTTTCTTTCCTCCCTCCCTTCTCTACTTTCTCCCTTCCTCCTCTCCTTCCCCTTCCTTCTTCCCTTGCCTCTCCCCTACTCCTCTCTTCCTCTTCCCCTTCCTACCCTCTTTCCTTCTCTTTCTCTCCCTTCCTCCCTCCTC